AGAGGGGAAGGAGAACCTCTCTTGACCTACTGAGTGGAGATGAACTGAGTGGAGAAGCTCTCGAGCATGCTTTCCCCCTGCTCCACCCCATCTTCCTGTCCTCCCTCTCCCTCGCACGCTGAAATATTGAATAAGGGACATTTCAGGAAGGTTCCTTCCAGTCCCTCACTTCCAGGAGGCCCTGGGGAGGTGCAGTTAAACTCTTTGAGTTTGAAAAAGCATGGTACAGACTCTTCTCTAGCCGGATATAACCTCTTCTGCTGTGGATGGTGATGAGGTAACCCCTTCCCCTTAAACTGACTCTCATTGTTTGTTGCCAGCCGCTCTCCGACATCTCCATCCTCCCCGGGATATCCGCTTCCCTCCTGCCCGTTCCCGACCGGCTGTTCCTCCTCAGGAAGCAGCTGATGGCACATTTTTCTCCATCCTCTTGAGCAGCATTGGGATGAGATTTTTCCTCCCAGTCCTCTCCAAGAGGAAGAAAACTGCAGTTGTTTGCCTTCAACGGGAGGTTCTAGCTATGACCTGCCCTTCAGCTCAATGCCACGTCAAACCCCTGACTGGTTTTCTCTTTACAAATCACCCATCACCTCCCAGTACAGAATTTAGTAGAAAATTCAACCTCCCACTCAGTGTTTCTCTTCCCAAAATGATTTATAACTATTCCCTTCTAGATAGAAGCTGCCATGGGCTGTCGTGCAGCTGCGTGATCGAGAGCAAACACCGCGGTTTGGCATCTTGTAGCGACTCGTGTTCGTTCCCTGCTTACTGGGGCGTCGGGGAATTGCCGTGCAAACCAGTTTCTTTACTGGGTTGCACCTGCTGTGGGTTTTACCAGCAGGGTGGGCTCCACTGGCAGTGAGATTTCAGCCTAATTAAACAAACTGGTCTGCAAAGTAGAGCAGCTGCATCATGCCAGGAGCTTGGGATTTCCTTCACTATTCCCAGTTATTGACTGGTGAAACTGGGACACTCTCGGGGAGATTTATTTCATTTTCTTTCTTTCATTGATGTTGAAATCATCGCTGCTTCCGAGACTCTTTTAATACCATCAGCTGTTGTGTGAATCTAAAGATATCAGCGAGGTTAAGCCAGGTTGTCTACAGAGAAACTGAGACTGAAAGCTGGATTTATTTTAGTATTTAGCAATATTTAGCAATATTGTTCTGCTTGTAAAACATCAACACCTTTGCTGAGGGAGATTCAAGCCTTGGACAGTGTGGTGGGTTGGTTGGGTGGATTCACCCTTTTTGCTTGCAGCCAAACACAACCTGCTCTGTCATCTTCCCCATCCCACACCCAGGGAGTAGGGGAGAGAATTGGAAGGAAAAGGGGAAGGAAACTCATGGGTTGAGGTTAAAAACTATTTACTAATGAGAATAAAATGAGAATGGTAACAGCAGTGATAACAGAATATACAGATGAGTGATGCCCAGGGCAGTCACTCACCACCCTCCGACCGATGCCCGGCCTGTCCC